TTAAGGAAGAACTTGTGTTAATATGTGACAAAAGGGCTGCCGCAAATAGGTGTATAAGCTACATAAAAGTGTCATGATATGGGGTTTCCAATGAACTTTTAAAAATTCTCCCTTCTGAAGACTAGCCATGCGTGCTTGTTTATATCAGATTCTACTTTTTCTGAAACAAAAACTGGGTAAGTCTTTGCTTAAAACGGTAATTAAGACCAGGAACTCTGTTGCTAAGAGATATGGTCATATGATGTGATGTCATGTGACTACCTTGACTTATGATGGCAGTTCCTGCCGTCCCAGTTGCCCTTTGTCTTTGCTTATTGGAAGTCAGCAGTGAGGGTTGCAAATTGTGATCCTGTGACCTCAGGATGGTACCGCATCTTAATTGTGAACCAATCGCAATCACATAACCATGGGGATGCTGCGGTGGCTGCAGCTGGGAGGACTCATCATAAGTCCCCCTTGTTCATCACCATCCTAATTTTAAATAGTAGATGAACCCGTGGACTTTGAGTGAGGACTACCTGTATATCAAGGCAGAGAAACCTACATATTGTGCAATCTAAAACTATCAGCCCCACTAACATTGTCCCGTGTCCATAATCAGGCATTTCCCAGAAATCCAGCCTAACAAACATGAGCTGCACTGAATTATCTTCTTCTTTTGCCTGGGGTGGCTAAATATTTTTTTTTTCACAAAACACCTTAGATTTCAATAGTGACCCTGCATGTTGAACACTTGCCTATGGGTGGAAAAATAATACATTTAGGAAGGTGGCTATGTCACTCCTTTCTCTTTAGGCTTTCTGCATGCAGATGGTTTTCAGGGTGGCAGACATAAAAAAACTGAGCTCTTTCCTTCAACCTGCCCAGAAGCTGAGGACCCTTGCTTATAGCTGCCATGACTGATGAATGATAAGTCACTGGCTCTCTGCAAGAAGCTAAAAATATCAACTAACATTTCTATGTACAGGGGAACAGAAAACCTTTTTATTTTTTTCAGAGTAAAGGGTTTTGAGTGGAGTGGAAGAAATAAAACAGTAGCCCACACAACCTTGAAAAACAACATTTTAATTTGGCAATACCTTTTTATTAAGAACAGCCAAAACAGATAGCCTTAGCTGTTGCTATTATTCCAGTGTTTCTCAACCTTGACAATTTTAAGGCATGTGGACTTCAACTCCACATGCCTTAAAATTGTCAAGGTTGAGAAACACTGTATTATTCAGTTGTAACTATTATTTGGGAAGGATAAAATGGTTGCTCCCTGCAGCCCCAGGAGTGATGTAGAAATAAAAAAGATTACAGTCTTCCTATCAAAAAAAGACTGAAAGCATTTGCTGCACAAAATTAGCAGATCATCCCTTCATCATCGCAGTGGGAATGTGAATTTCCTTAATTTAAAATTTACATTAACCCTTCAGGTTCAGATTGAAACGCAGTGAAAGCCCTGTGGGTATGGAAGACACGTATTCAACTTTAACATAAATGCAAAGAATAAACATGAGCGATGGATGTATTGTGCAAAATACTGCTATTCTTTTGCTTTCAAGCACCTTTTATTGACTTTGATAAGAGAAGCTAGCCTCTCATTGCCTGACCAAAAGTGAAAGGAGAACCTTCTGATAAATGCTTATCTTTGACATGGTTCTCCCTCCTCCCAAGCTCAAAATGAAATGATGGATCTCTTTCTGTCCTCTTTTTGGCCTTGTAAATGGTGCCAAAGTAGTGTGGGATAAGATCGGTGGTGACCATGAATGATTGGCTAGTTCAACAGGCATCTGGCTTCAGGCATCATCTTTGGGTTATTGGTCTAATCCAGTGGTGGCGAATCTATGGCACGCATGCCAGAGATGGCACTCAGAGCCCTCTCTGTGGGCACTTCTCTGAACTGCTGGTGGCGGGCTGCAGAGCCCCAGAGTTCACTGGTCGAGGGGCCGGCAGGCTGTGGCTTCTGACGGACACCGTCGGCCCCCATGCACTCGCTGGCCTCTGTGCGCGGGGGCCGATGGTGTCAGGCAGCAGCTGCTCCAGCCCCTGCCTTGCCTTGCCCTGAGATAATGGCACCCCCCACCCTGCTTCGCCTCACCCCACAGGACAACCCTCCTACCCACCTGCCAGAGACCCCCTGGATCTCCCCCAACCCTGCCCGGCCCCCACAGGTGTCCCTCCCCACGAGCAACATCGAGGTGACCACACCCACCTTGGCCACGCCCACCTGGCACCCAGCAATAAATAAGTGGGTTTTGGGTTGCAGTTTGGGCACTCGGTCTCTAAAAGGTTCGTCATCACTGGTCTAATCCTAATCCCGTTTAAGAGAAAAGCAAAGTATAAATCAGTGAAGCCAATTGTCGACTTCTTCCCGATGTTTAGAACGCAAAAGTGCACTTTAATCACCAGGGGCCTGTCCTCTGTACCTTAATCTCTCTCTTGCTTGTATCAATTTTCTACTAACTCCTGCTGATCTTCTTCTGCACCAATGCAAATCCAACATTCCGTATTTGAGTTGCTGTAAGGACAATAAAGTCCACCAGTCACATTCCTTAAATCAGTAGCTCTGTGGGATTTGCAGCCCTGGCTGGTCAAACTTTTCATTGCCACACACAAGCAGTCACCAGTAGAACACTTAATAAGTATCCAGATCTGGCCATAGTATGTTGCTTATCATTCCTTGTCCCACTGCTTCAGGCCTTTGAGAGCTGCTTGATGCTAGCTGAAGCCCGGGCCCGCTATGAGGAATTTTGCATCCCAATTTGTGTCTTGCCTGCAACTATTAGCAATAACGTCCCAGGCACTGACTTAAGTATTGGTGCTGACACTTCCTTGAATGCCATTGTTGAGGTAAGAGAGCAAATATTTTGGCACAGATCTAGGAGAACAAGCCTGAATGCTTATACAGAGGGGACATATATTCAGAAGCATTTTATGCTTCATGGTATGGAGGTAAAATCCTAAGATTCCCCCAGGTTGGCTTTTCCATGCAAATTAGCCTGCAGAATCCATTGTTGTTGTGCTACGTCAATAGGTAGAGCTTAGAACAATATTTCTCAAACTTGGCAGCTTTAAGATGTGTGGATTTCAATCCTAGAAGATGTTTTAAAATCTATAGATTTCAACCTCCAGAACATGTTTTAAGATATGGACTTCAATTGCCAGAAAACGTACTAGGTGTTGAGTTGCTGGCTAGGAAATTCTGGGAATTAAAGTCCACACAACTTAACATTGCCCAGTTTGAGAAAGACTAGTGTAGAAGATGTATGAAACCTGAAGCAGACAAAATGTTCGATCCTGCTGGAACCATATAATTTTAGTTCTCCATTGTCAGGCAGAGGCTTAAAAATATGGCTTTGGAATGAAAAATGCCAGCATAAGTATATTCACAGAAGATCCCTCCCTGATCTGTTGGAGCTTCATTTGTTTCTACAAGGGCAAGAATTCCGACCAGTTCTTTATTTAGTTAGTCTCTCAGAATGGACAGATTGGACAACCATTTGTCTGGAATGGTGTAGGGCAGTGGTGGTGAACCTATGGCACGCGTGCCAGAGGCAGCACTCGGAGCCCTCTCTGTGGGCACACATGCCATGCCCCGGAGATGGCAACCGTCCTCTTCAACCAGCTGCCCGCTAACTCGCCAAGGTCCCCTGTGGCCAGATGCATCCCAGCACCCATGCGCTCGCTGGCCTCTGTGTGCGGGGCTGATGGTGTCAGGCAGCAGCCGCCCCGGCTCCTGCCTCGCCTTGCCCTGCAACAATGGCACCCCTGCCCTGCCTCGCCTCATCTTGCCTCGCCTCACCCCATAAGACGAGCCTCCTGCCCACCACCCCACCCACCAGAGACCCTCTGGATCTCCCCCAACCCTGCCTGGCCCCCAGGCATCTCTCCCCAGGAGCAACATCGAGCTGAACACGCCCATCCTGGTCACACCCACCCATGTGCCATGACCACTGTAGCCACGCTCATCCAGTGGGTCACACCCACCCAGCGGGCCATGCCCAACCAGCACCCGGCGATATATAAGTGAATTTTGGGTTGCAGTTTGGGCACTCGGTCTCTAAAAAGTTCGCCATCACTGCTTTAGGGTCTCCTACTTGATCAGTGGGTTGGAGTAGAAGACCTCCAAGGTCCCTTCCAATTCTGTTATTCAGGTTATGAAGAATAGGTATGAACTTGACAAGTGGTTGACGTAGATCTAGTTGAATTGAATCTGCAGCTTGATAGATGCTAAGCTAGATTCTAAATACATCAACTAGGTGCCTGGCTGACTTCCTTGGGCAGCTTTTTCTCCCAGCATACTGTAGAACAAGGGAAGGAAACAGACCTTCATGGCTGAACTCTACTCAGTTTGCAGAAAGGAGTTGGAGTTTAGCTTCACAATGCCTATTTAATGATTTCAAAACTTCCCAGGATGATCAGACATTCTCTTCCAGCTTAACTTCTAAAGATTTAGATCTTGACCCAAGAGTGCAGCAATTTCCAAGGATGAAATGCAGGACTCCCACATTGAGCCATTAAAGACCTTTGTCCCTAAGCATTATCCAGAAGCTCTCAACATATTTTTGTTTTGTTTGTTTGGGATGCCTTTTAGAGGTTGGGATAGAGCCAGCATTGCTGCAGTTTCATCCCTTTTGAATATTTCAGTGGCTTGTTTGTTTCTGTTTTACAGAGTGTGATTAATCACCCTGTGTTAGAGCATAAGATTATTTTTTTTTCTAGCTGTCTTAGAAAAACAGATCAGAATGTGATCATTTAGTTGGTTTCTTTTTCTAAAAAAAAAAAAAAAAAAAAGCCCACTTTGTGCCAAGAATTTCATAGTTAACATTATGGTTAAAAAAATGTAGTTGGAATCTAAAAGGCCAGGAAGTGAAAGTTAAACACTTTTAAAATAATGTTTGCTTTTTATGCTTTTATAACATGTCCACAAGTGGAATTCCATTTGGCCTAGATGACCCTTTCAAAGACGACAAGCATGTTTTTGTGTCGGTCGCTAACAGATTTTTCTTCGATAGACCTGTGACCGAATCAAGCTATCGGCAAGTGGGACGAAACGACGCGTGTTCATCATTGAGACCATGGGAGGCTACTGTGGCTACTTGGCTAACATGGGGGCTTTGGCTGCAGGTGCAGATGCTGCATATATTTTTGAAGAAAAATTTGACATTCGGGAGCTACAGGTAGGCAATTCCTCCATCATCGTCTTATTCCACATTGATGGGCTGATTGATACTTTCACGTACTACTCTATAGTGTATTATTATTTGGATGTTGATAGTTACATTAATCTGCAAGATCTACCTCTTTGGTTATATTGGAACTGACTTTCATCTACAAGTCATCAGTTGATAGGATACCCATCAAGTGGTAAGGGTTGTGTGTATGATAAGTGTTATGTGATGACTACTGAGAGGCCCTTTGGGAACTGTCTGTTCAGATGATCTTTTTAAATGGTATATGAATTCTCATTGGTCCAGAATTCGGTTGTGAGGTTACATAAGTAGTCCTCAACTTACAACTATTCATTCACTGACCACTCAAATTTACAATGGCACTGAAAAAAAGTGAGTTATGGACATTTTTCATACTTATATCCATTGCCGCATCTACGTGGTCACATGATCAAAATTCAGACGCTTGGCAACTGGCTTACATTTATGATGGTTGCAGTAGTCCCGGGGTCATGTGATTGCCTTTTGAGATCTTCTGACAAGAAAAATTAATGGGGAAGCCAGATTCACTTAACAGCAGAGGTAGGATTCAGCCAGTTCATACCACTTCGGCAGAACCGGTAGCTAATTTTTTTGTTGCCCAGGCCCAGAATGGACTTCCTGGAGCAACATCCACACAGAGCATCGGTGGTTCACATATTTGAATCCCACCACTGCTTAACAGCCATGTTACTAACTTAATAGCTGTAGTGATTCACTTAACAACTGTGTTAAGAAAATTTGTAAAATGGGGCAAAACATCTGTCTCTCAGAAACAGAAATTTGGGGCTCAGTTGTGGCCGTTAAGTGGATGACTACCTGTACTTCACCCGGACTAGTGAGGATAAGTACGCCGGTATTTTATTAATTTGGTTCATTTCTGGGCCCAAGTTGAAACACTGGTTTTAAATGTTTGCGATAGTATGTGAGAAAAACCTTGGGAGGCAAGACAACAAGGCACAATTGAGACAGTGGTCAGATTAAAGACAGCTTAATCTGCAGCTGGTGGGTGTAGCAAGAGGCTCAGATGAGACCTTTCCAAGTTTCTTGAGTTGTAAATAAGGCCAGGAGAGAAATGGACTTTCAGATTTGCAAGATTCTTCTCTTTCACACATCTATCCAATACATCTAAGGTTCTCCAAATCCCTTGCCTGTATGAGTGTCTGATAAGGAGACCAGTGATAGCCAGTTTATTTAGCTGCCTTGTCTAATCCTGCAGGCTTTTCATTGTGTATTATTCGTGTGGTTGCATAACTATAACAAATACATGAATAGAAAAGATGCATTAACAACATGTACTAGGGATCTTCCTGCAGTATTTGGCATATGTTAGTGGTGGCTTACTTATAGCTCCTAGAGATCATAGTTGTTTTATTATGTAAAAGTTTATGGAGCAGCAGAATTGGTCAGAAGTCAGATTATCCCTGTAATCACCACCACCACTACCATATCCTCCTTCCTCCTCCTCCTCCTCCTCCTCCTCCTCCTCCTCCTCCAGAATTTCTTACAATATGTATGGCTGTTAAATGAAAAAGAACTCAAAGTAGTATACCAAAATTGATAGTTCATAAGAACAATCTACAGTCAATATTCCGTAGATCTCTAGCTGATCCAGGAACCTAAAATTGAAGTTTCTCATTTACTCCTTCAATATTGTTTGGAGAGCCTATAAAATTTTGGAGAGATTTAATGTACAGCCAGTTACAGATTAAAAAAAAAGTGAACAGGAAGATTATTCCTTCTTGTGAACAGGAAGATTATTCCTTCTTTGTGTTCAAAAGAAAGACATGATGCTTTTCTCAGTTTGTAAAAAAATGGTGTTTATTTTGTAGGCCAATGTGGAACATCTCACCCAAAAGATGAAAACTAACATCCAGAGAGGTTTGGTACTCAGGTAAGTGAACATTCATAGGCATAACTTTCAGGTCCTGTGAAAGTGGTACCTGGCATGTTGCAGGAAAAGGAAGGAAAGAGACAAATACTTTTCCAATATGAAGGAATAGATTGTCTTCTAAAAACACCCAAAAAGTGCAGACTTAGCCTTTGGCATTTCATAATAAAGGATGTAGGGCACAGGAGCATCATATGAGGTTTTTAGGACTTCCATAAGTCAATCAATCAATTTATTATTATTACAGCCATAAGTCTAAAGCTAAGCATTTCCAAAAATTACTACCAAAATGTAATTTTCAGGGAGACAGAAGGAAAAAAAGATTGTCTTTTATAATTAATAAATAGGATGAATGTTCTTGTAATCCAATCCAGTTCAATGATTCAGTTCAAAATATTTGAATTGCTTCAGTTCAAAATAGAATGGACAATCTGAGCGTATTAATTTGAACCCTCGGATTTTGGAGAGAAAAAAGTACCTGCTCAAAAGCAATATAATTGCAATTGGTTCCACAGGTTTAACTGAACCACCCTCAGGATAACATATCAGGTTGATATTTTTTTTTTGCACAATCCCAATATTTAATTTCAGTTTAATAGAATTGTCAGTGCAACTACAGGTAGTCCTCGACTTACAGCCATTCATTTAGTGACCATTTGAAATTATAATGGCATGGAAAACAGTGACTTTTGATCATTTTCACATTTAGGACCATTGTAGCGTCCTCATGGTCACGTGATCAAAATTTGAATGCTTGGCAATGGCATGTATTTATGATGGTTGGAGTGTCCTAGGTCATGGGATTACTTTTTGACAAGCGAAGTCAATGAGGAAGCCAGATTCATTTAACAACTATGTTACTAACTTATCAACTGCAGTGATTCACTTAACAACTGTGGTGATAGGTTGTAAAATGGGGCAAAACTCACTTAGCAACTGTCTTGTTTGGCAATGGAAAGTTTGGGTTCAACTGTGGTCATAAGTCGAAAATTACCTGTATGCAGATTTAGTTTTTATCTTGGCCCAACCCATTATTTTTGAAGTGCAATACATCAAAAACAAAGTCCATCTTTTGCTCCAGAAAAGTTGCACACTCATGATCTAGGATTAGTTAGGTCTACATAAATGATGCTTCAACGTTTCCTGGCTGGCAAAGGAGACAATATCTGGATGGATCATTCGGTAATTCCACTTCAGGTAGACAGAACTTATTCTGAATCTAAATCCCATTCCTTAGCATCAGAACCCTGAAGCCGAAGTACTGACATGTATAACAGATGGAGGTGAGATCTCTCTCTCTCTTTTTCTTGACTCCCTTTATTTCAGAACAATTTTTCTCAACCTTAGCTTTAAGATGTGTGGACTTCAGCCCCCAGAATTTAAGATGTGTGTATTTCAACTCCCAGAAAATGTGGACTTTACAATGTGTTCGAATTCTGTGAGTTGAAGACCACTCATCGTAAGGCAGCTAAAGTTGAGAAACACTATTTTAGATGTAATTCTAGATATTTCCTGAACTGGTTCAATGGTACGTGGTACACAGTGTAAAAAAACAAGTTGGTAGAGTGGGCAGGTTGACCTCTTTCAATCACAAGGGTTGACCCCTGTGCTCCTTTGGCAATAGCTCAGATTGGGTGTTTTTTGCTTTGACTCATACTCATTTTGTGGCCAATCATTTTATATGCAAAGAGATAAACTTATCTCTTGAAGAGGTGCAGAAAATGAAAATGTCTTCAGCAAAGGTGAAGAACGCATCTGAATCAATTATATATCTGAAGAGTGATTACCTTATAAATTGACATTTGCTCTGTTTTTTGCTTTTTAAAGCTAGGCAGATCTCTATAGGGGCATTGTTTGAATGGGAAACGGTAATGGCATGTAAGAGATGAGGCAAATATTGCTACCTAAAGGATTGTCAAATAAGAGAGGGCATAACCCTCAGCTGCATAATGGATGGAAATAGAGGCTCAGAGAGAACCCTTCCGAGCTGCTGGGACTGGGTGCGGGGGAATTATAATTTCAGACTTGCAACATTGATGTCAGCCTTCACAGGTAGACTAGACAGGTGATAAGACCAGGTGAGCTAAGTGTACTTCATAATAAGGCTGACAGCTTTATTACCTTAACTGATTTTTGCAAGTTTGAAAATACAAACCTCCCACCACCTGCTTTACAACTTGAGGGAAGATCCTTTCTCTTTCTCTGCCCATTTTGCAGATCTCTTACCTGACCCTCCTGACTCTCAAGGTCTTTCTCGCATACCATTACAGAAACCTAACCAGAAATCCCATTTCACCTTCCCAAGTATTTTTACAGAAATACAGCAGTATAGAAAAAATTGTATCAAATAAATAAGCCATGCTTTTTGGGGATCACACAGGAATGAAAATAGTAGCGAGAACTACACAACTGACTTCATTTATCAGCTCTATTCGGAAGAAGGCAAAGGGGTCTTTGATTGTCGAAAGAATGTGCTGGGTCATATGCAGCAGGTGAGAATGGCTAAGTACTCCAGGTGGGGGCAAGAGGGTTGGAATGCTTCTTTTAACCCAACAACAAAGTAGTACAAATGCCCCTAATAGGTTGGAAACATATATAAAAGCAGCGATCCATCTCACTTGTGACAGTTGGGTTTCTATATCTCTAGCAGCAAGCGGAGTGTCCACTTCCACTCTGCAGAGTAAAAGGCTGTTAGTTGTTGCTGCTTAAGTTAGCTTTTCAGAAGTTTAATTTCCTCCAGTAATTCCAGTCCTTTTTTGAGTAGCAGTTGTTAAGCAGGTGTAAAGATTTCATCATTGAATAGAAGCCATTCTACAAAGCTTTGGTTGTCATGTGTCTGATTAACGAAACACTTAAAAGAACTTTCAGGCATTTTTTTAACCTAAAAGCATTTATTAAGGTTACAGAGATGTCAGTATGGCATGGTGAAAACGCTTAGATCTGAGACTTTATTGAAGTCCAATTCAAGTCCCAGCTGACATAAACAACCCAAATGAATATAACTCCTGGGGTAAGAGACCAGATGCAAATATTTATTAAGAAAATAAATAAGAAGAAATGAAAACTATCAGTGTGTGCATGGTAAATATTCTATGACCCACAAAGCCACAATGATTATCTGATCATGATTTTTACTGAAGTAGCATACTTCTGTAGGCTGTATGTGTTGATTGACTAATTTGATTATGTCCCTTCAGATCTAACACTAGTAATCAGGGTGGCTAACAAACTGTGAAAAGACATTAACAGTTAAAACACTAGTGAAGCCCTTCTTTGAAAGAGCTGTGATGGTGCAGTGGTTAGAATGCAGTACTACAGGCTAACTCTGCCCACAACCAGGAGTTTGATCTGATGAGCTTAAGGTTGATTCAGCTTTCCATCCTTTCAAGGACTCAGCATATTGTTGGGAGCAATATGCTGACATTATAAAATGCTTAGAGAGGACTGTAAAGCACTATGAAGCGGTATATAAATCTTAAATACCATTGCTACTGATCCCCAAAGCTATCAACAGCCAGTGCTGGGAATTGTAGGAGTTGAACTTTTCAGGATCGCTGGGGGGGAGGAGGAGGTGGGCACTAAATTGGAATGAAGAATAAAGAACACAAATGCATCATCCCCTGGTGGAAAATAGGCATGCACTGGGCTATGCCTCATTCTGTGCCTAAATGTGAGATAATGAATCTTGTGCAAGTCTAAAATCGGAAAGAGTCTTGAAGGACCTTCATATATTAACTCATTATATTTACCAACAAAAAGTTCTTAAACTACAGAGAGTTCTGACTTACAGCCATTTGTTTAGCAACTGCTCAAACTTACAAAAATGATTTATAACCAGCTCTCACACTTCTCTTTCTCTGTGTGTGTTTGTGTATGTGGTATGTGTGTAAATCTATCATCAATCATTTTAATATCCATCCATCCATCCATCCATCCACCCATCTATCTAATTTCTGTTTGCCTGTCTATGTCTACTATCTATCTATCTATCTATCTATCTATCTATCTATCTATCTATCTATCTATCTATCTATCTATCTATCTATCTATCTATCCATCTATCCATCCATCCATCCATCCATCCATCCATCCATCCATCCATCTATCTATCTCTGACAAATTTATATACTGCATATTTTGCAGTTATATAACCATTGCAGCATCCCCATGGGGATGAGATAACTAACATGTTTTTACAACAGTTACAGAATCCTGGGTCATACGAGGGCAATTTGGAAATAAACCTCTGTTTGGTTATCAATGACGGACACTCGCAGATACAGAACTTTTATTATACACATTAGAAAATTACATTACATTATTTTTTGATATAATCGCCATTCAAATTGAAGCATTTGTCATAACATCTTACAAGGTTTGAAATTCCTTGGTAGCAGTCGCTCGGCGCCAAATCTGGGCTATGGGGTGGTGGTGATGAAAAACATCCCAACGGAACTACTTCAAAAGTTCTTGGGTGCATCTAGCTGTGTGCGGGCAAGCGTTATTGTGAACCAACACCATACCGGAAGTCAATGCTTGTTATGGATGGCTCATCTTGAGTTTTCATAACGTTTCACAGTAGACTTCTGAATTGATGGTCGAACCAGGTTCCATGAACTTCACTAGCAGTGCTCCTTTGGCATCTTCACATTTGGTGGGATTTTCTATGGCACCACTGGTGTTGGTTCACAATAATGCTCACCTGCACTCCTCTAGATGCACCCAAGAACTTTTTAAGCAGTTCCGTTGGGATGTTTTTGATCAACACCCCCCCAGCCCTGATTTGGCGCCGAACATTTGCTACTAAGGAATTTCAAACCTTGTAAGATGTTATGTCAAGTGCCTCAATTTGAATGGCGATTATGTCGAAAAGTAATATAATATTGCAATTTTCTAATATGTATAATAAAAGTTCTCTATCTGCGAGTGTCTGTCATTGATAACCAAATGGAGGTTTATTTCCGAATTGCCCTTGTATAATCACCATCTACCGCGTTTCTCCGAAAGTAAGGCCTACCCTAAAAATAAGCCCTAGATTGATTTTGGGGGGTGGGCTTAATATAAGCCCTACCCCCAAAATAAATCTTAGTTTTGGGGCAAGGCGCACACCTAAAAATCTTGCTAGGGTAGGGTAGGGGGTGGAGCTGCCCCACGCGCCCTGCACCCACTTACCTTGCAGCCAGGCCTCTCCTCGCTGGCCCAGCTCTTCTTCTGTGGTGTCTTCTGCAGCCAGGCCTGCATTTCTCAGTCACAGGCCTTTCCAGAAGGCCACTGCAGCCGAGAACCGAGCTATGGATTTAATCCATAGCTATGGATTTAATCCATAGCTCGGTACTCGGCTGCAGAGGCCTTCCGAAAAGTCCTGACTGCAAAATGCAGGACGGAATGCAGCTGCAGAATGAAGCTGCTCTTTCTGCCCCAGAAGAAGTGGACCGCCTGGGCAGAGCTGTTGGTGCCGGAGGTGAGTATAAAAGACCCTCCCCCCAAAAAAATCAGACCGGGTGCCTCTTTTGGAGGAAAATTCTAAATAAATAAATAAGACCCGATCTTATTTTTGGGGAAACACGGTATGATCTTCCCTACCAGCTTCTGACAAGCAATGTTAATAGGAAAAATCAGATTTGCTTAATGACCACATGATTCCTTTAACAACTACAGTGATTTGTTTAGTAACTATAGCAAAAACTCACAAAATTGGTCATGTCTCACTTAACAACCGCCTTGCTCAGCTTTAACAACCTGCCTTGTTTAGCAAAGGAAATTCTGGCTCCAATTTAGTCGCTAAGCTCTCTTTATCTGATGCGATGGAGTAGCTACACCTGATGTAGGATTTAAATTGGGATCAATCTATCCACTCTGTTGCATCGGATGAAGCGAGGCATATAAAATTAGTTAGTCAGAAAAGGTGCTGCCAGCTATTCTCAGGTTTGACAACTATGAATGAACATGGTTCTTTTTCTATAGTTGTACATGTTTTTAACTTATAAACACGTCCTCCTCATAATTTTCCCTACCCTGCCCTTCTAAAAAAATCTGAAAGGCAACTTCATTGTTAAATTGTGTTGATTTTCACAGGGTGGTGCTCCTTCTCCATTTGATAGAAACTTTGGGACAAAAATAGCGGCAAAAGCTGTGCTGTGGATCTCAAAGCAACTGAAACAAAGCTACCGAAGAGGTAAGGAAATATTAGATGCACTTCATGGCATGGAGTAGTGAACCAGCTGCAAATTGCCACTAGATCTGGGAAACGGGGGGACGATGGTTGGAAATTAAATGGTTTTATAAAATTGTTTTATTATTAAATTTATATTCCACCCGTTCCACTGATAAGACAACATTTGCAGGAAAACAATCAAGCTCAGAGAGAGCACCAAAGACCACCTCAATTCAATCCTGAGCTACAAAAATATTATTTTCTATTGTTATGTCATAGTATCTAGTAGGAATATCCATGAAAAAAGATAAGATACTTTATTCCAAATCCAAAGCAGACTGTCCCATTCTAGAGGTTCTGTTAGACTTTTTCAGGTTGGCTAAAATTTAGCAGAAACAAAAAAAACACACAGGATATTATTCTGGGTTTGGATCAAAATAAAAATCAGCAAGAACCCAGAATGGGCAAGTATGTCATCACTCTTCTCTGCCATCTTCCTTTTATGTGTTGACCCATCTGGCTCTGATCTGGGTTTGGTCTTTCCTTCAGTCATCTCTGCTGATGTCCCAGCACTGGGTCACTTGCCTCTATCTTCCCATTCCCTTCTTCCCTGCCTCTCCTCAGCATTGGTACAGAACACCATTCTCTCTATTCCGTTTTATTTATCGACCAAATTTCTGGTTTGGGTATAGAACACCTATTTTATGCATAGAACGTTTCTCACATTTCTAATAGTTAGTATTCAACTCTAGTTCTATAGAATTAGGAATTTTAACTATGCATATGTACCTATGAATGCAAACACATTCACTTGTGCACAGAATAGGTGTTTCTTTATAATGCTGTTGAAAATATTTGTGAGGGATAATTCAGTCTTCAGAGTACATTATGAGTAGTTGCTTGCTTCCGTGTAAAAGGGCTAAAGCAGGGGTCTTCAAACTTGGCCCTTTTATGACTTGTGGACTTCAACTCCCAGAATTCCTCAGCCAGGCATGCTGGCTGAGAAATTCTGGGAGTTGAAGTCCACAAGTCATACAAGGGCTGAGTTTGAAGACCCCTGGGCTAAAGCCTCAAAATATGCTACTTTTAAGCAGCCTCAAATGAGTTAAATTGTGTTTGAGTGGTATAGCATTCCATTAGCTAACCTTTCATTATTTCAGGAAATCCAAGTCAGCCCTCCTAGCAAGAATCCTGGGCAGTGGGGAGGCAGGAATAGAGGAGGATTAATTGTCTTCAATTTTGGCTTAATTGATCCTCACCTAAACACTTAATAAACAGGCTGCCTATTTTATATAGGTGAACTCAAGGTTGCTGTTGCTTGCAACAGTGTTGGGTTTTGTAGTTAATAGTCTGGATCAACCTTTGCAACCCAGTGCTAATCTCTCATGATCAGACCTGATACGGCCAACAACTATGATGATTGGAGTGATGGAATTAGTTAGCCGGCAGATCTGGAAAGTGGCTGTGCCTGCACCAAAGATTTATTTCCTTACTGACTTCCTTAATATAGGATATTTTTTCAGCTGAGAGATTTTTAAAATTAAAAAGAGAACTATATATATAGTTGTGTAACTGAGGAGTGATAATCTGAAGACTGGCCTTCAAAAAATAGAAGTCTACCACACAAAGCATTTTCATGTACACCAGAAGTCTTCTGAATGACTTCTGTCATTCTATAGAGCAGTGTTTTTCAGGCTTGGCAACTTTAAGATATGTGGACTTCAACTTCCAGTAGCATGCTTAACAAAATAACAGAGTTGGAAGGGACCTTGGAGGTCTTCTAGTCCAACCCCCTGCTCAGACCAGGAAACCCTATACCATTTCAGACAAATGGTTGTGCAATCTCTTCTCAAAAGCCTCCAGTGATGGAGCACCCACAACTTCTGAAGGAAAGCTGTTTTACTAGCTCAGGGGTATCAAATTGGTGGCCTGTGGGCTGGATGTGTCATGCACTGGCCACACCCACCCCAGCTCCGCAAAGGAAAAAAAACATTGTGATACATCACGATACGTACATGATGCGATTGAGCTTGACACCTGTGCACTAGCTGATTGTTCTGACTGTCAAGAAATTTCTCCTTAGTTCTAGGTTGCTTCTCTCTTTGGTTGGTTTCCACCCATTACTTCTTGTCCTGCCTTCAGGTGCTTTGGAGAATAGCTTGACTCCCTCTTCTTTGTGGCAGCCCCTGAGATATTGGAACACTGCTATCATGTCCCCCCTCGTCCTTCTCTTCATTAAACTAGACATACCCAATTCCAGCAACCGTTCTTTATATGTTTTGGCCTCCAATCCCCTGATCATCTTTGTTGCTTTTTCTCTGCATTTTTTCTAGAGTCTCAACATCTTTTTTACATATATCTTTAATTTGCCAAGTTTTAAAAATATTAGTCTATAGAATGCCTTTTTTATGTATTTGTAGTTTTTAATCCTATAAAATGTTATGGAATTCCATAAAATTATGCATTTGTTTGTTAGATTTATGTCCTGCCTTCCATTCAGGAGCTCAAGGTGGCATACAAAATGCCCCTTCCTCCACCCCCATAATCCTGAGTTAAGGCGCATTTAGAGTTGCCCATAACTGCCAATACCCATCAACGCACACCTATGCTGTGAAAAGGTTGACAGGTAAGCGGAGGCTGCAGAGGGCTACAGACAAGCCAACATAAACACCTCAAAGATCCCAACCGCGTGCATTTTGTGGCGGTGCCCGCCCTGCATGCTTATTGGTTGATCCAAGTTTCTGTTCTGTGGTTTGCTGTTTGAGCCAGAACCTTAACATTTGCTTATGTATATATAAAAAAACACCTTGCAACCATCCCTTATGCCTACATTCCGTCATGTGTAATGGTGGAGAACTCTGCTCTAGCTTTAAGAGTGGAATGAAAATTACTGTCCTTCCAAAGTCCTCAGTTTTGTGACACCACTATGCTCATTGCCCAGGACTCTCCTTCTCCCCAGGTTTTAGGTTCCTGAGTATGTGTTATAAATAACAGGCAACCACATTTATTTAGTCACAAATATTCTTTCTTATTTCTCCCTGCTTCCAATGGCTTCATGGAACACAGAAGAAGGTAACGTGCTGAAAAAGTTATGTTGTTTTTTAAAAAAAATACTAATGTTGGACATTCATTCATTCATTATTAATTATCACCACCATTTTTTGGCTCATCCTAATTTCCAAGTTTTCATAATTCCCATTTACGCTCTTTGTTATACTACTTTAATAACTAACCTAGATTAAACACACCAAGAGAAATTCTCTTAACACTTTCCCCCTCCCTATGTAGTCTTTTCCAGTTAATATGCACTATTTTGTTACACTTCTTGTGGTTAAAACTATTTTTTCCCCTCCATAGGAAAGGTGTTTGCCAATACTCCAGAAACTGTGTGCCTTCTAGGAATGCGTAAGAGAAACTTGGACTTCCAGCCGGTGATCAAGTTACAGGATGAATCAGACTTTGTGTAGGTCAAAGATCTCTGTATGACTGTAGAACAGCCAGCCCAGATCTGATGCCCCACCAGGATCTTTAATTCCCAGTTAGCAAGATTGAAGTCCTAAAGAGGACAAAATAGCATATATTCAACAGCATTATTCCTCAGTTGATTTCAAAGACTGCTGTATGTACCATAAAGTAGTTCAAATTTCCACATGAAGAACCCATGGCAGATCAGTTGAGATATATCTTGTGCAGATTTCCCCATAGCACAAATGGCTTCTAGATTGAGTTTGGGGATGTTTTTCAGCAACATCAACTTTGTGTAAGCAAAGTGTGTTACTTTTTCTATTCGCCCAAGCTGTCCACGGTAACATTCTTGTTCATTCATGCTTCTCTGAGGCTGCACTTTTCACTTGCCAGTGCTGTTTGTGTGGAAGAGTTAGGAGTTGACCTTCACTGAAGAATGTTAATTGCAATATCAGAAAGCACTGCAGAGATAGTTCCTGAAGTCATTCAGTTGTCACAATAATGTTTACACTGCCTCATCCTAACAAATGGTTGAACAGGCTTTTGAAATGATAATCCCTGGGGAAGCAGGAGAAGAACAAAGTCAAGGGGATGGTCATGAACGTGTATTTGAAGCCTCATCTCTTGTTTACATGCAAGTCTTCACTTGGGCTTCCTCGGAACTTTGGCCAGTGTCAGAATGGCCAGTAGTTTGGCTCAGTCTAATGGGTAAACCATGGGTTCTCCTTAGCTTGAGAGCAGGACAGACTTGGATTCATACATAGAGCGTGAAGAAGGGCTCACTCCGTCCATTCTGTGAATTAAAGATAGTTCTTGACTTAAAACTGTTTAGGGACCATTCGAAGTTACACCACCACTAAAAAAAATCCACTTAACACCCGTTTTCCACACTTATGACTGTTGCAGCATCCCCGTGGCCACATGATCAAAATTCAGACTGGCATGCATTTATGACGGTTACACTGTCTGGGGGCTATCTGATCACCTTTTGTGATCTTCTAACAAGAAAAATCAATGGGGAAACCAGATTCATTTAACAACTGTGTTACTAACTTAAGTGACTCATTTAATAACTTTGGCAAAAAAGGTCACAAAATGGGGCAAGTCACTTAACAAATATCTTGTTTAGGAATGGAAATTTTGGGCTCAGTTGTGATCTTAAGTTGAAGAGTACCTATAATTCACAGAATGGATGGAATAAGCCCTTCTTAATGTTATGTGCGGGACTGTTATAAATGTCTTTGATGCATGGGGTGAACGTTATTTTTATTTGTAATGCTGTTGGTTAAAGTAGTACAGATAGTCTTCAATTTATGATTTGTTTAGTGATCATTCAAAGTTACGATAGCACGGAAAAGTGACTTACAATTGGGATTTACACTTAAAGAATGTCACAGCACCCCCATGTGGTCGTGTGATCAAAATTTAGGCTCTTGGCAATAGATAGTATTTATCAGTTGTAGCATCCTGGACTCATGTGATCATCACTTGTGACCTCCGCAGCAAGCTTCCCACAAGCAGGGTCAATGATTCACTTAGTAACCATGGCAAAACAGATCATAAAATTGAGTGTAATTCACTTAACAACCGTCTTGCTTAGCAATAGAAATTCTGGTCCTAATTGTAAATGGTAAATCAAGGACTACCTGTATTTATTAAATAATTGCCATATAATAAATGGGAGTCAATGAACAATCTGAAACTTCGTGAGCTGAAGATTTTGGGGACCCATGATTTACTGTTTCACTGGAACCCCTTTATAGTAATAAACTAAGTCTCCTATATAATGTTCATTATAGGGTTTCCTGCCTGAGCAAGGGGTTGGACTAGAAGACCTCCAACGACCCTTCTAGTTCTGCTGCTCTGTAAGCCATCTTCTCCTTATCAAGAAACCATCTCGCTAGCAAACATTCAGCTGAACATTGTCACATGTGCTGCTATGTGAATGGATGGATGGTTCTTATTAGTTTTAATTGGCTTTGTTTTGAGTCCATTTGAATTATTGCATATAAGATAAACCCCCATGGAAATGAAATGAATAAATAAAATTTCTTGGTTTCAGCTTGGGTAGGGGCCTCAGCTGCTCATAGATGTCCTAACAGAAACTTCTAATGACGATTTCTCTCTCCTTTTGGTTCACAGGCACCGAATTGCTAAGGAACAGTGGTGGCTAAAATTGCGTCCTCTGATGAAGATCCTGGCCAAATACAAGGCCAGCTATGATATTTCTGATTCAGGCCAGCTAGAGCACGTGGTGAGACCAACGGCATCTGAAGCCTGAGTCTGCAACGCCAGGATGTCCCTAAGTGGAACTTTTTTTTCCATTGTGCATCAACAATGCTTTAGAATATGTGTTACAGCTTCTTTTTGTAACATGTAAGTTATTGTACCAGCACTTTACGTGGGAAACAAAAACGTCACCATATTATCTGTTCCTGTTATTTTTAGGTTTCATTTACAGAGTGGGACACTCCAGCGCCTAACATGACAAAGAAAACCCAGTTACCAATGTGTTCCTTATGAATAATCTGCCCAAAACCTGTTCTATGCACTCAGTGTGATGCCGTTTGTCTTTTGCACTTTTACCAGATAGTGTTTACACTCAGAAGCATAGTTTTGTGTAATAAATATTGAAAGACATACATGTGATCCAGCCATAATAAATACTGCATTATCATACGGTTTAATGTCCTTTGTTCTCCTAAAGCTTTCACTTCACTTAACTTTTCCACCTTGTTCTCAAGCTGAACTGACTGTCAAACGTCCAGATCATTCAGAGCACTGTTGCTTGGAGACTCTTACATAGATATTTAGTAAAGTCACTATGGGACAGAGTTTGTGTGCAAGGCAAGTTGTTCTTTCAAGACTTGCTTGTTGCAATCATTTTTCACCCCAAGGACTAAGGCAGCTCTAGCAAAAATGAATGAGTAAAAGCCACCTAGTCAGTAAACAATTACTTACAGGCCTGTAGACTTTCACAAGTGCTTTGATGATACTCAAGCACTGCTGTAGAATTGCTTCAGGAAGCAATACAAGTAATCCTTGTTTAATGATGTTAATTGGAATTGGTAGCCTTGTTGCTAAGCAACGCGGCCATAAACTAGCAGTGAAGGTGCCATGGAATGCTGGCTGCAAGCCAATTACCAAGCTCCTAAATCACTGTGATGGCTGCAATTACAAGAACCCACTGTAAATCCCCCTGCTTCAACACCATTGTAACTTTGAATAGCCACTGAATGAGGACTACCTATACATCCATTGCCTTTTTCTTCAAATTGGCAATGTTCCTTCGTGTGTTCTGCTGCCTCCAATTTTAGAGCCAAAAGAGATTTCTGCCAGATGGGCCAAAGCCCCTTTCTGATCTTTTCTGTTGGAGGCCTTGAGCTAATAAGCCTTGGGCTTCTCCCACAGCACAAACCAGTGATTCTCAACTTTGCAGCCTGGAGATACATGGACTTCAATTCCCCAGATCCCAATTCTGAAGCAACTGAGGAATTCTGGAAGTTGAAGTCCATTCACCTTAAGGCTGCCAAGGTTGAGAAACATTGCTGCAAACAATTGTCACTATTTACAGATATTTCTTTTGCTGCAGTGAGATTCGCTTTGAAATTCAAGTGGCTCCCACACGAGAAATTTTTTTTTTTTAAATATTAGTGACTCCTGTCTGTCCAGGATTCATTCTTTGCACTGTCTGCAGAGAAAGTGGAACACTTGAGTTATAGAACAAGCAGTGTGGACACAATTAGAATGTTCAATGCTCCATCTTGTACACTGATGCTCACACAAGACACAAAACCGAAGCTGAACAAATTGCACAATGTTCATTGTAATACAGAAAATCCCATGCCTGAATCCTGTCTTTCCTACATTTAGGGCTACTTAAAATCCTCTATAATAGCCCCATAAGGCAAGGTATTCTTAAGATGAGGCACCGATTTGCCCAAGATTGAAACGCAAAACAGGAAAGTTAAAATCAATTATACGCTGTTTTCAAAAATATTTTATTAACTGACCATGATCTAAAGAAAATAGATTGAAAACAATTCTACAATTTTATAAATAAATACTGCAGCGTTTGTTTTTTTTTGGGAGAGATCTAACTGAAATTAGGACCAGCTGTCATTCACAGCCAGGAATGGCTTGACTTGTACTTGTTTCATAACTGCTGCAGTTAAGACAAAAATTGTTGGGGCCAGTTGGTGGACTTATGACAGACCTCAAATCCACTTACTTTTTCAAAATAAAGACACTACTGCAGTATCACGCTCTTTAGGGGATGACACAATGCAAGTAATGTTTTGCCTTAATAATACTTTTAAAGTCCTTTTTCACAAAATCTACTATGATCGTCGTGGCATGAGTTGCACCTGTTGGATTTCCTTCTAAAGCAAGCCGTAGAAGGCTGCATTATCGTATAACCCAGGAAGGATCCTTGGCTGTTTCTGGGTTCTCTGGTCCAAGAATAGCCAATCCCCTTGTGCTCTTCCCAGCAATGAGGAATCTGAAAGTAGAAAGGCATCTGTTATTCCAACTGGGAATGCTTGAAGACTAGTCTTCCATCTGATCAGGGTGGAAAAGAAATCACGGAGGGAGCAATTTCTCACTGAAAAAGGAGGCTATTCTTGAAATTCTGAACTGTCTAATAATGTATCCCAAATTATTAAATATATCTAGTCCTTAATAGGGTTCAAACAGTTCAAATTCACAAGTTTAAATGATGCTCTTTTGGATGTACTGACATGCAGATAGAGAGTACAAATTAGCAGAAACAACATTGGTGGGATAGGGATAGAATTAGATTAGATTAGAATATTGGGGTTGGACTAGAAGACCTCCAAGGACCCTTTATTATTATCATCATCATTATTATTAACAGAATAGGAGTGCAGTAGAGTAGAACAGAAAACAGAAAAGAACAAGGACAGAACAGAACAGAATTAAAATTCTTTCTTGACCAATGTGATCGGATACAGAAGGAATTGTCTCTGGTGCATAAGTTCATACCATTCATATCGCCATCCTAACTGACCTCATATTTCTTCTCCATATCCCTTGTTGTTACTTCCTGATCAGGCTGTTTAGCACACAACCTTAGCCATTTTAAGATGTGTGGACTTCAACTCCCAGAACATCTCAGCTAGAGAGACAGAACAGGCATGCTAGCTGGGGTATTCTGGGAGTTGAATACATCTTAAGATGGCTAAGGTGGAGAAACGCTGCTTTAACGAAGCCTGAGGTCCTAGGTGTGACTAAGGAGAAATGCAAAGTATTAGATGAAGATTAGGATAAACAGTGGAAAGAGAAAGATAAGACCATGATATGAGCACACACTCAAATTTCAGTGCTCTAGTCTAAAACAATACTGAACGATTATCTACTGTCTTAGCATTTGCCAAATAATGCTTAACATAGCCTAATAAAAGCACTTAACAGATTGGCCTCGGCCTTCTGAAATTAATGATTAGAAGGTTTGGTATGTGTATGTTTTGGTTATATGGGAGAGATCAGGGGGGCTGTTTTTGTTTTGTTGATACACAAGAATGTTCAGCATATAAGCAAAGGACCTGAAATGCATTACAGGTACTCCATGACTTACACCTATTCATTTGCCGAATGTTCAAAGTCACAACAGCTCTGAAAAAGTGACTTCCAACCAGTCCTTGCAGTTACAACCATTGCAAGGTTCCCCACAGTCACATGATCAAAATTTGAGTGATTGGCAACCGGCATGAATTTCTGACCATTGCAATGTCCCTGGATCACGTGATCACAATTTGTAACCTTCCCAAATGGCTTCCAGAAAGCAAAGTCAATGGGGGAAGCCAGATTTGTTTAACAACCACATAATTCACTTGGGAACGGCAATGATTTGCTTAACAATCATGGGGAAAAGGTTATCAAACTGAATGTATCCCATTTAATAAATGCCTTGGCTTAGTAATGGAAATTCTTACCCCAATTGTCATAAATTGAGGTCTACCTGTAATAAGACTGTATTGCTGAAAGGGCCTTCCATTTCTATGTTTATAATAATAATAATGCCTCTAGGTGGTTCACAACAATAAAAGAAATGATAATAATTACTATCAATCTCATCTTGACACAGAACGAAGACCCTGGATTTTCTCCCAGCAGCATACATCATTAAAAAAAAAGGAATTAAAATGGAACTAGAAAAGGCCATTATCTTCAATGTGTTCCTTCTATCCAATTCATTCAGGAGCAGTGAAATAGGCCAAATGCAGAGAAAGAGCTCAAAACCATCTAACACTTGACACAGGTTTCTGCATTCTCTTACTAAAATGTTTATATGAGTGTGTCAGACAAGCATGTACACATTTGTATTTTATAATCTGTATACAAACAATTTTTGTCAAGATTATTAAGAACGACCACATGGTGGAGAACTCTAGAAGCTATAATCCCAACACATCTGGAGCCAGCTTTAGACTCCAGACAGCAAAACAGGGAAGATTTCCGAGGTTGGATACATTGCCCACCCCTGTTCAAGAAGTCCATTTATTTCTAATTTCAGCAGACAGAGCAATGCTATCTGGACTTAAGTTATATTGATCTTCTCCCTGCCCTGCATTTCACAATAATCAGAATACATCACATCTTCTGGCTCCATTTACAACCTGTAGTGGCAATGAGGAAGACCATTGTTATTTCAAGGAGTTTAGTGATATGTTTTGACTTTTCCTTCCTATTAAGAAAAGACTAGTACTAATTCTGAGCTAATCTGCTTATTTCTTTTTACTCTTGTTTACTGAATAAAGGAGAAGCTTTTCTTACTGTAAAAATCTGATTTTTGATTCCCATCTGAGTCAAGAACCACCCAGTCACGATCAGATCTTGCAGCTTCATGACCATCATAGGTCCATGAAGTCATGGTGCCAGGCTTTGATAAAAATCTTGAGGTTGTTGTTTGTTGGGAGCTTCTGCATGGAACCTAGCATCAGTTATTGTGTAAATTGGCTCCCCTTCGGTTATCTCTGCTGTCGGTACCCCAAAGTAGCCTCTTCCAAAAGGCAACTGGACTTTATTTTTTTTTCTTTGAAAATGTTTCACTTCCCATTCAAGAAGCTTCTTCATTCTGAAAAACTGAACAAGCTTCTTGGTTGAGAAGTGAAATGTTTTCAAAGAAAAAAAAAAAAAAGTCCAGTAGCGTTTTGGAAGAAGCAACTTTGGGACAGTCATGCCCTGATTGATTGAGAATCTCCATAGATTTTTTATTGTCATTATTAAGGAGCTCCTGGCAGCTTGTAAGAGATTTGGATACCAGCTTGCTTAGAAGGGGTTTTTTATGTTATATTTTTAACTCTGTTTGCTTGAGCTAATAACAAAACTTAAAAATCTCTTTATTCATTGGCGTGTGCATTTTCTCAGGATCCAAAAGAACCAACTGCACCTTGATCACTGCCCTGACGCTTGACAAAACACAACCACCGAATGAAATCTGATACGGGCCTGAATCAATTTTCAAATTCAGAGGGGGAGAGGAATGTTCATGCGCCCACCAAAGTAGATGCCAAATTAAATGGGCCATGTGTAGCAAACGCCTTGGGTTTCCTCTCACTGCATCTGCAAGGGTTTCAAAATGCCAGCACTTCTCAAAAGGAACTCAAACTCACTTGTTGGACGCATCTATCAGGCTTTCCCTGGAGACAG